GAGAGAGAGAGAGAGAGAGAGAGAGAGAGAGAGAGAGAGAGAGAGAGAGAGAGAGAGAAGCTGTGGCGATCCTTGAGTGGCAGGTGATGCCACTCGAGGATCGCCACAGCTTCTCTCTCTCTCTCTCTCTCTCTCTCTCTCTCTCTCTCTCTAACTGCCATTTGGTCATTTTTTATTTTTCGAACGAAATTGAAACCGAGTTTTCTGGCCAAGAACTCGTCCAAATTTGCTGATCCTGAGGGTGCTGCGTTCTTAAACGCTGGATCACCTGGATGTATGTGGACTTAGCAGGAGACCAGATAGTCTCAAGCTAAGTCCACATACATCTGGAAAAAGAGAGCCAGTCAATGACAACTCAAATATAAGAAATTGACAGAAAAAACAAGACAAGGGAAGAAGAAGAATGAACTGCCTATCACCAAAATGGAGGTTTTTTTTAGGTTTTTTTTATTGAACGAATTAAGTACCCCAAATTTAGCCCAAAAAAGTACCAAAAGTTCTTCTCTAAGGGTCCGGGAGTTTTTTAACGTTAGACGCTATCACTAGGAGAAATGGAAGTCGGATGTATCTGAATGGAGTCCAGACTCCAGAGTCCAGATACATCCGTACATTCTTTAAAAAATGCCTGGGAGTGCACTTTTGTTCACCCACAAAAAGTCGGAAATGGTATTAACCCCCCCCACGTCGAAACCTAACGGAGCTCAAAATGGTGAAGGCATAAATTACAAGGTCAAGTCAACGCCGTGGTAAGAACCTATTCTGATAACTTCTGAATACAAACCTGCTTACTTCTTTTATATCAATAATAATATGGAATAAAGTCGTTTTACTTCTTTTATATCAATAATAATATTGAATAAAGTCGTTTGGCAGATACTTTGCGCCAGGTTGTATAAGAAGACCGGGTCAAAGATCAAAGAATATGGGTTTTTTTTTTTTTTTTGTCGAAGAATATGTTCTCTGTAACTGTTACGACTGATTCACAATTTCTATTCAACCCCAAACGGGGCAAAAAGTGTCGCAGGCCCCAGAATGACTTTCGGCGTCGTTTTTGCACCCGTAAAACACTTCCTGCCTCCTTTGCACAGCGGGGGTTACCGGCCCAGCCAGGGTGCAAAAATGACACGAAAAGTCATTTTGGGGCCTGCGACACTTTTTGCCCTTTTTGGGGGGAAAATGAATAGTACAAACTTTAAGGTTTTTGTCTGAGGGGTGTTTAATAACTTTTCACAAAAAGAATCTTCATTTGAACGAAATAGTCTTTGTAACCTAGAATGGAGGAAGAAGATGATAATTAACACAAGCTGAAACCAAAGTCCCTTCTCCCCCATCTGGCCTCCATGACATTTCGCTCATCATCTTCATCATCTTACTTGTTGACAGCAGGAAATAATAACAGCGAATATAGAAGTCAGAACCAAATGTCCAGAACAACCCCTTACTGCCAGCAGGTGAGAGGAGCTCTCTTTGGCTCCCCTACACTTCCTACTACCCTGCGACTTTTTCGGCCGCGGTGGCCAAATTGCCCGCGCCCGCGGCCGCAGGTGTCACATAGCCTGCAGATGGCTTCTAGCTATTGCGGAGCATGTAACATGACCTCCGATGCTCAAAGGACAACGGAAACGCTTACGCTCGCCGATGAAGTACAACTTCACCTTAAAAAGCGAAAAACTTGACCATATACATAGCACACCTGCAGGAAAGCCCACATATATCCCATCAAAGACGAAGCCTGGAGAGCGTCAGAACCCCTCAACGAAAGGAGCCTACAACCCCTTCGACAAAAGCAGGTAAAGACATGGAGGGGTACAGATATCCGAGCAGCACCCTAAGCTCGCGCATCACATACGGGCCCAGTACCTGCTGCACAGGCCTCCAAAATGGCAACAAGGGTTGGTGCCAGGACTCAGAGGGCCAAAACAACATATCGCTCATCGCACCCCGTCACACAGTGTCACACACTCAGTCGTACTCAGACAAGCACACAGCGCACAGAGATCAGCACCTGCAGTACTAGGAATAGACTCAGCAAACATTCGGCAACAAGTTAAAATTGGAACCATACAGAGAACAGAGAGAAGATGCGTGTGGCCCCTGCACAAGGATGACACACATCAATCAAAAAATGGTCCCAAAAAAAAAAGAAAAAAGAGGAAATCCAATGTCTCCAGGTCGGGGACCTTCAAAGTCAACCCAGAGTGGACAGAGCAGTACTACTGTACTGGGGACGTAACCTAACCTCGGCTACGCTGAAAACCGGTCCAGAGTCCCATGGCAACGGCTAGAGTCTAAGCGAGAGCCAAATGGACACCTCACAGAACTATGAATCCCCCCCGGGGGCGGCCATGTGCGGCCGAGACGGAGGCTGCGGCCTAGGCGGCGACCCCGCGGCCATGAAAACATAAAAAATAAAAAGAAATTCAAAACACTCTGGAAAAAAAATATGTCATGCAGAAAAATAAAGTGAACAACTTTTTTCTTTTTTTTTTTTACCCAAAAAGAGTATATTATATTGTCACAAGCTGGGAAACGGGCCCAGCGTCCCTCCCATCAATAAGCACGGCCTGCGGCTATGAACCAGGCTCACCGGCCCGGATCAACCCAACTTTACTGAATTTGAAATTAAAAAACACAAGTTTCATAGTTACAGCTTTTGCCCTAGGAGAATTAGTTTTTGAATTTTTAAAATTCAAAGACGAAGTCAAAAAAAGCAAAACAAAATTGCTTAATGTAGATCTCGAAACGATCTACAACATATTTTTTTATTTAGTTTTTGAGATTTTTTTTAACTCTCAAAAAAGTCCTGAAAGTTGCGGCCGCACCCAGCCGCGGCCGGAGGGGAGTGGGCGGTGATCCCAGCCGCCCGCCGAGTTTGACCCCCGCGGCCGCGGCCGGGGGTGATACATTGAGTCACAGTGACTGAGTGACCTCAGGTAAACACTACCCAAAAGCTAAGTGCACCTTACAAGCCTACAAGGTCTTTGGGAGCAACAAAACCGTCTCAAGACTCTCAACTCAGACAGACTGCTCCTGGTCTCGATCAAGTAATGCTGTTAGAGAGAGAGAGAGAGAGAGAGAGAGAGAGAGAGAGAGAGAGAGAGAGAGAGAGAGAGAGAGAGAGAGAGAGATCTGGGAACTCTGAGGCAGGTTGCGCACCGAGGAACCAATCCGGGCAAAAAGCTTGCTGAAGCGGTCATCCAGTACTGCCATGCACCCGTGGCACACCGTGTCTTCGAGCTGAAGGACGCAGAGAATATTGTCATGGCTTCAACACAAGCATGGCACACACAAATCGAGAAAGTGCACTCGAGCTGCAAACCGGAGTTCTACCGTCTCCAACTCTCGTCAGAAACACTTCTGGTGCTTGCCGGTCTACGACGTACAGTCAAATTGAGTCAATCCTGTCTCTCTAACCCGAGATCAAGATCGGAGCACACCTTTGTGCAATTATGTGCAAGACTTCCAAGTCTAAGGTTCAAGCTGCAACATAGTTTCTGCCACAGTCCTACAGCTTCCCTTTGTTCCGACGTCAGGTCCTTCGCCGCAGGCTCGCAAAGCCGCATCTCCTCACGGAGGGACAAGATCTTGAAGGGTCGTAAGAACCCTATTCCACTCGGCTTGAACCACATGTCAACGTTGAAGGAAGGCCAGATGCGGTGCCGAAACGATCTGTAGTACCAGTCGTAGAAATACTCGTTAAGGAATCCCTCAGAGTTGGGCCCAGCAGTGTTGGGCAAGGTGGTGGCCTTGGCCAGAAGATCATCCAAGGCTTCCCTTGAGGGTTGAATGACCATAACTCGAGAAGAGAACTGATCAGGAGGGAAACCAGATGGAGCTGCAGCGAAGGGTAGGTAGTCAAAAAGACCATTCACATTATCAACGAATAGGGAGAATGGGTGTACAAAGACGACCCTGGACCATTCTGTGAGGTTCCAAAGATGAAGTACGTGGTACTGTTCTCCCAATGTAACGACGGCTCCATTATCGTCCTTGGCCTTCAGAGGGCCTACGACCCTCACAAAGTCGAAGAGGGGTACCAAAGGGGCCCATACGTCTCTATCTACAGTCGAAGGAACTACGAGCATGATGGGTCTCGAACTGGCCCCCCTGTGGTGTTCTCTGTACGACTCTGCCCAGACTCCTGCGGCTAGCATCGTGCTCTCACTGTCACTCACCAGAGTCACGACCAGCTCCTTATCTACCTCAGGCCAGTTGGGGAGCTTTCCCTCCACGGGCACATGCCGTTTCCAAGGCAACTGCGGCAGCACGGGAAAGGAAGAACGAAATGAAGGAAATGAAGGAGGAGGAGGAGGAGGAGGAGGAGGAGGAGGAGGAGGAGGGAGTGGGAGCGACTGCAGACCGTCTGGAGAGAGGATGGACTGAGAGAAGGGTTTGTGGCCGTTCTCGTGGGAGGATTCTTTTAGGCGTCGGTAGACTGGGTACCAGTCCCGATGAGGAAGGAACTGCGCAGGTGCGATGGACTCAGGAGGTTCAACAGGCCTCCAATCGTTGCTTTCCAGCTTGGCAGCCACCTCCCTCCACGCCCTGCACCACACCGTGTCACGTGGGCTCTCGTCCGACTTCCACGGCTTCGACCATCCGCCTGTGAAGTGCACGATGCGGACAGGAGCCTCCACGTCATCTGTCTGGACATCGCTGTTATCCCGATCTGTCACCCCCTCGTCCGACACGCCTCCTCCTCCTCCCATTGCACCTGGTCCAGGTCCGGGCAACTGAAGGAACTCGTCAGCGCGATTCACATTGAACCAGCTAGGTGGATGATAAGATCGTGCGAAATGCATGATGGCGTTGCACCTGAAAGGCAGACGATGATCGCTACCCATATGGAACCACCCGCTGAAGTAGGAGTTGAAAAAGCCTTGATCGCCTCCGTTGTACGTGGGCAGCTTAGGAATGGCGGCGATGAGAGACTCGTACGTGGCAATCGACGGCTGGATGACCATCAACCCTGCGTTGAATTGGTGTGTGTCGTAGCTGTTCGGTCCCGCCGCTGGTTCTGGATGCTCGAACAGATCGTCTACGTTGTCCAGCACCAGCATGTCGATGTCCAAGTACACAACCTTCGCGTACTCTGTCAGAAGCCAGCAATTGATCTTGGTGTAGTCGGGACGAAAGCTACCAGCCACACGATTGACATCTCGGACGACATCGTAATGAGCCTGCAATAGCTCGCGCATTTCCATCTCCCCTTTGCTCCTCCTCCTCTCACGACTTCCTCCGTCTTTCTCCGCTCCAAGTGTCATCCATGTCCCGTTCTTCTTCTGCCAACCTTCCACAAGGAAAATGACGAGATGGTGGGGAGTCCCCGTGCTCCGTAGACACTGGGCGAGCACCAGTGCTTGAGCGACTAGACTTGGCGTGTCCAGCGCCGCCACGTAGGCATACATTTGCCGCTTAACAATCGGATGTTGTTCCACAGCACGTGGAGATTGAGATTGCTGGTCTGACCTCACAGCCTTCTCACGACTAATCAGGGTCGCAAACCTCTGGGACACAGTCCCCTCCTCTACGTCGGGTACAGATCGCCAGTAGCTGTACCGCAGCGGCATGTACCCCCAAAGCCGAGCCAGCTCGTTGATGCACACGCGGCCATCCTTCTCCTTCCCTGCGCGATGGTCCAACTCCTCCTTTTCCATGTTACTATTATCCCCACCACCTCCTTCTCCCAACTCCATCAACTTCCCATCGACGAGGACAGGCGCTGCCTGACTCTTGTTGGCCACAAGAAAGTTAATGGCAATGTCATCGCAGCCCCCCGCCTCCCTTTTGACCCACTCCCCAACCCCCGGAGCGTTGTGACACGTGTAATCGAATAAATAATGGGTCGATAGCAGCATGAACCTGCTTGATATCATGGAGAGTCGACAAGTAGGCGAATGGAGGTACTCCCAAGTCCCATTCGGAGTGTTATACTCGTGGGACCGGGGAAAGAGTCCCACAATGCGCCCACGATTGGTCCCCCACACCTTCAGCGCAAACTCTAAACTGCCAGCGTCTGGCAGGGCGTCATCGTCGGCGATGGCGACCGCGGAAGTGCTGATGAATGTCCGAGGAAGGAAGCGCGAATCCGAAGTGCCCGAAATCCGCACAACGCGGATCGGAGCGCCATAGCCATCACCATCGCCATCGCCATCGCCATCGCCATAGCCATCGCCATAGCTATAGCTCTGCAAGGTTTCTTCAAGCACGGAGGAACTACCATTAGCCTGACCCCAGAGAACGACGACGGCATCCACAACATCGATCCGAGATACCAACAACAACTTCTTTCGCAGAAGGGAAATTCTGGATGGCAGAAAAACACTAAGTATGAGTGTCAGCTTGTCATCTCTAAGATCAGCCAAGGGCGGGTACAGTGATCGGTCGCACACAGCAGCAGCATCGTATACGACTTCTCCTCCGCCGGGTGATTTCTTCAACCTAAGTGCGTGTCGCAAGCTCCCATCGGAGAGCCCTACGCTGCCTACATGACCGATTTCGTTGAGCCAAGAATAGCATAAGAGGAAGAGAAGGACGGAAGCGCAACACATGTACGCTACCCACTCTCCGCGACACTTACCTCTTCCCCAGTCTAACCGAGGACAGAGTGTCGCCATATGGAAAAGTAGAAGAGATTTCCAGATCGGCCCGTTAGTGACCTCCCTCCCTCATAACAACTTACCAAAACTCTCTCTCTCTCTCTCTCTCTCTCTCTCTCTCTCTCTCTCTCTCTCTCTCTCTCTCTCTCTCTCTCTCTCCCCGAGCTGAAGGTGTCTCCTCCTCCCTTAAACCCATCTGCGTGCAATCGGTACAATTGTCGCACCGCTCATTACCATGCGTCCCGCGTTCAGAACTTTGCTCGTCATTACCTCGCTTCAGCACCATGTCCGCCTACACAGAGCTTATTTCCCGCACTCCGATCTTTCCAGCTGTCACCCCCATACCATGACCGTTCCCTCACGACATCATTCCAAACGATACGCGCAGACCAGCTCTCTCTCTCTCTCTCTCTCTCTCTCTCTCTCTCTCTCTC